TTTTTTTTTTTTTTTTTTTTTTTTTTTTTTTTTTTGTAAAAAAAAAAAGGTGTATGGCCGGAGTCCAAGAGTTTTGGAGAACAGGGCATAGTTGGAGGTGTGCCATCGAGGTGGAAAGGAGGCTGCATGGATAAAACCCCTGATGCAGTGCCTTGTAACAGGTACCCTTGTTAATCATAATTTGATATTTTATTATTATTTTTAATTCACATTGAATGGTGACTAACTGCATTAATTATGATTAACACAGGAAATTAATCGGAGCAAAGTATTTCAATCAGGGACTAATCGCGTACTTGAAATCCCACAATTTAACAGATGAACTCTCATTGATCGTCAACTCTACACGCGACTACGTAGGTCATGGAACCCACACGCTATCGACGGCCGGCGGCAGCTATGTCTCCGGCGTCAGCGTATTTGGGTCCGGTATCGGGACTGCCAAGGGCGGCTCTCCCAAGGCCCGCGTCGCTGCCTATAAGGTCTGCTGGCCGTTCCATAACAGCGGCGGCTGCTACGACATCGACGTTGTTGACGGATTTGATCAAGCGATCCACGACGGCGTCGATGTCCTTTCGCTTTCCATCGGCAGTCCACCAGCCGAATACTATGATGATACCATCGCCATTGCTTCCTTTCTTGCAATCAAGAAAGGAATCCCCGTGGTGTGCTCTGCCGGCAACTCCGGCCCGAGCATGGCGAGTGCTTCTAATATTGCTCCATGGATTTTGACGGTTGGGGCTAGCACTTTGGACCGTGAATTTCAAGCCCCCATTGAACTTGGAAACGGGCAACGCTTCTGGGTTTGTTTAAGAATATTTAGTCATGAATTATAATTTCACGTATATATTATATTTGATTTTTATAAGCAAATATCCCTTCCATTATTGCTTAACCTAGGTATCATATTTGTCCTCGTTTGGTTGAACATAAAAATTGTTCCTGGTGATTAGGGGTCAAGCCTTTCGAGACCATTAGCAAGAAGAAAGCTATACCCATTGATAACCGGAGCTCAGGCGAAAGCAACGACCGCCTCTGCCGACGACGCCATGCTCTGCAAGCCAAAAACTTTGGATCATTCTAAAGTGAATGGGAAGATCTTGGTTTGCTTGACAGGGGGCTCTTCGAGAATTGACAAAGGAATGCAAGCCGTCCTCGCCGGTGCTGTCGGAATGATTCTTTGCAACGATAGGTTTAGTGGATTTAAAATCATCGCCGATCTCCATGTTCTTCCAGCTTCCCATATCAATTACAATGACGGCCAAGCTGTTTTCTCGTACATCAATTCTTGGAAGTAAACAAATTACAATTTCTTTACTTCTTTATGAATCTTTGTCGGAATATTTCTCTAATTGTTGTTGTTTTTGACAGAAATCCGATGGGATATTTGATTCCGCCGTCGTCCAAAGTTAATACCAAACCTTCTCCGACAATGGCGGCTTTCTCATCCAGAGGGCCCAACATGGTTTCACCGGAAATTATCAAGGTTTGGTTATGAATTACAACATCCATTTGAGATTATCAAGAACAGAGCTCATGAGTTTCTAATTCTTTGCAGCCGGACGTGACAGCGCCGGGAGTGAACATAATCGCGGCATTCTCCGGCGCTGTGAGCCCAACAAGGGAGCCATTCGACAACAGAACAGTTCCATACATAACAATGTCAGGGACCTCCATGTCCTGTCCCCACGTCTCCGGCATTGTCGGCCTCCTCAAAGCTCTCCACCCCGAATGGAGCCCTGCCGCCATCAAATCCGCCATAATGACCTCTGCCATAATTAGCGACAACACAATGAACCTCATCCTCGATGGCGGCTCCCCTATGTTTGCTCCAGCCACCCCCTTCATATATGGGTCAGGGCACATCCACCCCACTGGCGCCATCGACCCCGGCCTCGTCTACGACCTCTCCCCCAACGATTACTTAGAATTCCTCTGTGCCAGTGGCTACAAGGAGAAGAACATTCGAGTATTCGCCGATGAAAATTTCAAGTGCCCTATTTCTTGTTCTATTTTTAACTTTAATTACCCTTCCATTGGGGTTCAAAACTTGACTGGGAGTGTCACCCTTAAAAGAAGGCTGAAGAATGTTGGCAGGCCGGGGGTTTATAGAGTCAGAGTTCGACAGCCGGAAGGAGTTAAGGTTTCAGTGAAGCCAAGGGTTCTGAAGTTTTGGAAGATTGGAGAGGAGAAGAGGTTTGAATTGACAATGACCGGAGCTATGGCGGAGGGTCAAATTGGTTATGGTACGCTAATTTGGACCGACGGCAAGCACTTTGTTAGGAGTCCAATTGTGGTTTCTTCGGGCCTTTTTTGAACCCATTTTGTTAGGAGGGTTACTAGACACTGAAATCATATAGGTTTTTATATGAACTAGTTCTTAGGAATTCTTTCTTTTTATTTGAAACATTTCCCAATTTTCGTTTTTAGTTTGATAAATTGTTTTAGTTTAACCAATTATTGAAACAAACAATTTCTTTTCATCTCTCTATTTCATCGAACTCTGTTCGAGACAGTGCCCAGATTGTTATGCCTTTCGTGCAGGTCGAAACTTATCTTACAAGGAATTTTGCTACCTCGGATCGTTATAGTTTCACCAGGATTTTGATTGCTGGCTCACTTGTTATCAGGTCACCAACTTCTTGGACTTTCTGACACTGGGTAGGCATCAATTTTCATAATGGTCTGCAGGTGATGTTCTTTTAATTGAAGAGAGAGGTTCACAACCATTTTTTTAAAAGAATGAGAGTGGCATAACAGGTAACACTTAACAAGAGATAGATACGGGTGATAGGAAAAAAGAGGCAAGCCCCTAATTCAAAATATAGTGTGAGAGGGGCCGAGCTTGGACCAAGTTTCCATTTCCAAGTATGATTCTCCGCCTCGGTATCTTCTTCTTCTTCTTTCATCTCGAGAGCACAATTTTCAATCAAATGAAAAGGTTATTTATCCTAAAACTTGTAATAAGTTTGTTAATAAACTCAATTTATTGTTTTTTAATAGAAGGAAAATGTTAGTCTGTAAAACGTCAATTTATTTATTTTCAAATATTTATTACAATTTAAATATATATTTTGAAAAGTTACTTCCAAATAATTTAAAATTATTTTAAAGAGAATAAATCATAATAAAATAATTATGAAATTAAATAAATCTGTTGGAAAATTTTCTGACAAATTTGGGACACTATGAAGCCTCAAAGGAATATTGTATGACTTGGAAATTAGTTGGAAATTGGTCAAATTTTCCTCTTAAGAATACCATGGCTCTTTCAAATTAGTATCACCTTCTTCCCGTAATTGTGACAAATACCTTAAAATTTATTTCTGTGAGAACTCTTGTTGTTGTTCGAGCTCTCTAAGGTTGTGCAGTTCCTTAGTGACTTCTTTCTTTGTCAACATTTTTGGCATGTGACTTATTGTTGCTCCGACTTTTACTTGTGTAGAACACTTCTTTTTCACTCTTGGCGTGATACCTCTCATTTGCTTAGCTATGGCTTCTTGGCTGGCTAGCTGGGAAGTATTGAGTCATCGTGATGTCATGTTGTGATGTCATGCTTCTTTATTATTCTTCTTTTAGAACAACATCACGAACATGTCTAGTGGTTTTCAAGGCAAACATTGCTTCTGATGTGGAAGACCAGACAAAGCTGAAATCACAAAGCATACTAAGAATTCTAAGAGTCAGACAACCTACACCAACCTTGCTCTGATACCATGCTAGGAATCACAAAGCTCTACAATCGTATGATATTGTCCCATTTGAGCATAAGTTCTCATTGCTTTGTTTTTTGTTTCCCCAGAGGCCTCATACCAATGAAGATAGTGTTCCTTACTTATAAACCCATGATCAACCCCTTAATTAGCCGATGTGGGACTCCTCTCCCAACAATTCTCAACATATTTGGCTCGAATACTCACCATTGTAAATAAGATGAAAATTCTTGGTAAAAACATGAAACAAGTGGTGATTATTGAAAAAATCTTGAGATCAATGACCTCAAGATTTGACTGTTATATATTCGATTGAAGAGCCTAGATGAATTGTAAAGCATCTTGCTGGTACATGAGCAAAGACTGAATGAACATGTAGATGATGGACAGGCATTAAATGTGACATACGATAATAGAATCGGTGGAAGAAAATGTGATCGAGCTCATAAATTTTTTCAAGGAAGATGTAGAGGAAGAGGCAGACATCCATGGTAAAGGAAGTGCATTATGCTAAGCTTGAGGAGATAGAAGAAATGTTGTTGATGTCATATGTGAAGCTCAATCAATCAATGTGTCCAACAAGGAATAGTTCTCCGATCTTGAATTTCGATCTTGCTTGTGGAGTGATTCAAATCTCAAACAAATGTTCTTTCCTTGAGATATTTGATCAACAAGGTAATTCGAATCTTACTCTTGTAGTGATTTCCATATCATTTGGTATTAGAGCTTTCCCTTGAGCTGATTTCCTTATCATTTTGGTATCAAAGCTTTCCCTTGGGTTGGTTTCATATTTTTTGAATGATATGAAATCACAAGGGGAGTAAGATTCAGATTACCTTGATAGAATATCTCAAGGCAAGAACACTCGTTTGAGATTCAAATTACTCCACAAGCAAGATCGATCATATCTAGCTTGAATGATTCTTGTTGAGCAAATATCTCAAGGCAAGAACATTTGTTTGAGATTCGAATCACTCCACAAGCAAGATTGATCATGTCGAGACATTTCAAGAGTTTGTAACATTCATACGCGACTAGCATTTTCTTCATATCTTCGTTGAAGTATATTGTATATTGATGTCTCTTGGTTTATATCACAAGAACTTATGCTTTAAGTGGACAATATCATACTAGAGATTTGTGGTTTTGTACAAATTAACTCTTTATTCGAGTGGGTTCGATTAATCCAATTTATAAAGTTTTTATTTATTAAACTCGATTCAAATAATTTTTTTTGGATCATCGAACTTTTTCGAAAACCGTACAAAAGAACCCTAATTCACTCCAAATTGGGGTTGGGTAGAAAAAGGTTGTTTGTATAAATGGTTGGTGGCGCAATCATAGAAAACTGAATTGGACAAGGAAAGTCAATGTTGGAGCCCAATCTATATGCTCCGTGAAAGGAAGAAAGAGAAAGGGGAACGGAAAGGAAGAAGGCGCAGCCGTATACGCGCAATTGGGTTTGCAATTTGTAATTATACGATCACGATGGCTAAAAGTCTCGCTCACTTTAAACTTCATCCAACTTCCAAATCATTTCCCCTCTTTTTCTCTATCTTTTCCTCAACAATTTCTTGCTCCTCCGGATTTTCTGCTCTTCCCATCTTGTTTCAGTTTACGAATGCGTTTCTTCTAATTTCTTGCAGCGCTCGGATGAACACCAATTAGTTTATATTCTCATTGTTTTAACTGGGTCATCGCGGGTGTTGACGCCCCATTTCGATTTCATTTTCGTCTACCTTTTCGAACATTTCACTTTCTTTCATTAATTGCCACGCTAATTCTCTGTTTCCGTTTCCAATTTATCTCTGAGAGTAGAATTCTATGTGTTCTGGGTATAAGAATATGAAGCTTACTGTTCGTGTAATAGAGGCGCGGAATTTACCAGCGACGGATCTAAATGGATTTAGTGACCCCTACGTTCGGTTGCAGCTTGGTAGGCAGAAGTTTAGGACCAAGGTGGTTAAGAAGACGTTGAATCCAAGTTGGGGGGAAGAGTTTAGCTTCCGGGTGGATGATCTTGACGAGGAGCTATTGATTTCTGTCTTGGATGAAGATAGGTATTTCAATGATGATTTTGTTGGACAGGTTAAGATACCCATTTCGCGGGCTTTTAATTCTGATAATGGGTCGCTTGGTACTACTTGGCATTCTATTCAACCTAAAAACAAAAAGTTCAAGCAGAAGGATTGTGGTATGTTCTGTTCTCCATAGTTTTTCATGTTTCTTCGTTACAAATTTATTTTTGAGAAGTTGATGATTATTTCATGATGTGTGATCCAATTTTTGGTTGTGTTGCTGAAATTGTGATGAAATTCTCCTTGAGCAATGTTCATTTTCTTGTTATGAAATATGGTTCCTGAAAAGGAGTTGAGGAAGTTTTTGTTGTAATCTTGGCAGGTGAAATCCTTCTTGCTATATGTTTTTCTCAAACCAAAGCATTTGTAGACTTCAATTCTAATGGTCATGTATCTTATCCAAAGACTTCCACTGATGAAATAATGGGTTCACCGTCGAGGTCTCATAGTGGCAAATCTAGCTCACCATCTCCAGTGAGGCAAAGAGAAAGTTCGTTGAAGGAACATAGATCTTTTCAACAGAAGACCTTTGCTGGTCGTCTTGCTCAAATGTTTCATAAAAATTTAGATTCTGCTTCACTCATTTCGTCTCGAGCTACTGACCTATCAGAGATATCTGAAATCCCTGCTTCTGAAGTTTTGGAAGTCAATTCAGGAGAGCAATCCTCTATGGCCACATTTGAAGAAGCAATAAAAGTATTGGAGTCAAAAGATCAAGAAACTGAAACCCCATTGAATTTTCCAGGAATAATGGTTGATCAATTGTATGCCATTGCACCATCTGACCTCAATTCTCTACTCTTTTCATCAGATTCAAGCTTTCTATCATCTTTGGCTGACCTTCAGGGGACTACAGAACTGCAACTTGGAAATTGGAAGTTTGAGAATGGTGGTGAAAGCTTAAAGAGAACAGTATCATATCTTAAGGCTCCAACAAAACTAATCAAAGCTGTCAAAGCATTTGAGGAACAAACGTACTTAAAAGCTGATGGAAATGTTTATGCAGTTCTAGCTATTGTAAGCACTCCAGATGTAATGTATGGGAACACGTTCAAAGTAGAGATACTTTACTGCATAACGCCTGGTCCTGAGCTTCCATCAGAAGAAAAATCTTCACGACTGGTAGTTTCATGGCGAATGAATTTTCTGCAGAGCACTATGATGAAAGGAATGATTGAGAATGGAGCCAGGCAAGGTATAAAGGACAACTTTGATCAGTATGCTAGCTTGTTATCTCAGACTGTTCCTCCAGTTGATCAAAAGACTATTGGATCAAACAAGGAACAGGTTTTGGCGTCTTTGCAGGCACCGCCACAACAGTCAACCTTTAAACTTGCTGTCCAATATTTTGCTAATTGTACTGTTGTGTTCACTACTTTTATGGCTTTGTACGTGCTTGTACATATTTGGCTGGCTGCACCTAGCACAATTCAGGGGCTTGAATTTGTAGGGCTCGACCTACCTGATTCAATAGGCGAATTTATTGTGTGTGGTGTCCTAGTTCTGCAGGGTGAACGTGTTTGGGGGATGATTTCACGCTTCATGCGAGCCAGACTGCGAAAAGGTAATTTCAGTATAACGCATGCAGCCGGTTTGTTACTACAAGCTCTATCTGATTGCGGTGCCTTTCTTTATAACAGGGAGTGATCATGGAGTCAAAGCACAGGGAGATGGATGGTTGCTTACTGTTGCTCTAATTGAAGGGTGTAGCTTAGCCGCAGTTGATTCAAGTGGATTATCTGACCCATATGTGGTTTTTACATGTAATGGAAAAACAAAAAACAGCTCAATCAAGTTCCAAAAATCTGATCCTCAATGGAATGGTATTTTTGTAATATGTTTGATACCTGTTAGTTATTAATCATGAAAACCTATTTTTGATGTAGAAACTATTGTCTTAAATTTATACTTGATACACACTAGTGTTCTTACACAGACGTTTTTTTCTTTCAGAAATTTTTGAATTTGATGCAATGGATGAACCTCCCTCCGTGTTGGGTGTTGAAGTTTATGATTTCGATGGGCCTTTTGATGAGGCTACATCTTTGGGATATGCTGAGATTAATTTCCTCAAGACTAGTATCTCAGATTTGGCTGACATTTGGGTACCCCTTCAGGGGAAGTTGGCTCAAACATGCCAATCCAAATTGCACTTGAGAGTTTTCTTGGATAATACCAGAGGCAGCAATGTTAATATTGCTAAAGAGTATTTAAGTAAAATGGAAAAAGAGGTTGGGAAAAAGGTACATAGCCTAGCATTCTACCTTAGAATTTACGTTCTTGACTGGATATCTCTCTCTCCATTCAAATACTAACACCTTTAGTTGCAATGAATTGTAGCTCAATTTGCGTTCTCCTCAGTCGAATTCAGCCTTTCAGAAACTATTTGGGCTTCCAGCTGAAGAATTTCTTATTAATGACTTTACGTGTCATTTGAAACGTAAAATGCCAATTCAGGTGCTTTAGTTATTTCATAGTTAATTGATTATTTTCATCCAGCAATTAAAATTATACTTCATGAGTTTCATCTAATAATTAGTTGCTTTGTCCAGGGGCGCATCTTTCTGTCAGCTAGAGTCATCGGTTTCCATGCAAATATATTTGGGCACAAGACCAAATTCTTTTTCCTGTGGGAGGACATTGAGGATATTCAAGTTGTTGCTCCTACTCTTTCATCAATGGGCAGTCCAATTATTGTTATCACTCTCCGACCAGGTAGAGGTATGGATGCAAGGAGCGGTGCAAAGACACTAGATGAGGAAGGCAGACTGAAGTTTCATTTCCATTCCTTTGTATCCTTTGGTGTAGCACAGAGGTAATTTCGTACACGCTTGCTAGTTCAGTACATTTGATTTTTTACTCATGTCGTGACCTTTTTGTCGACTCTTTTCTTTTGGTACTTGCACTTACTCATTTTCTTGTCTCAAATGGAATTCTTTGCTCTTTTCTTCTAGAAATATGTACTTGTATTCTTATCCAGAAAAAGATTTATTCCCTAACATTATTGGATCTTGGATGTGTAGGACTGTGTGGGATGTTGTAGTAAGATTCTAAATACAAGAGAATGTTAGGATCACTTAATAGGTTGTTTAGTAGTGGTTCATTTGGTTGTTTAGTAGTTTTAAGGATTGGTTGTTTTGCTTAGTTAGTAATAGGTGGAGTAGGGGCTTTGTAAATACACGAATGTTCTCTTGTAATTTGAACACTTTGATAATTGGATATTTACAAAGCCTTGAGTCCACCTAATGTTTATTTCTTTTCTCTCGTTGTGCTGCTAGAAAATGGTCCTTTGTTCTCCTGAAAATCATTTCCATTGGAATACATGACTATTAGCATATGGAACATCACTTATTTATTTGATATCAATTGTTAGGCGTCACTCATTGTCTTCTCTTATGAGAGGTAGGCATCATACAGATTTAATATATCTCCAATCTGTAGTGGTGGTAAAACTGAATCCCATCAAATTGATATCCTCGAACTTCTTCATTCAGTAATTCTTGAAGAGAGAGAGATAGTTGAACCATTTTTCTAGTTTTCTAGGGTTTCCTCCAATCAGCATTCCCAGATAGGTTAGGAGCCACTATCCATCAGTTTACTGGAGTTTGATCGTCTGATTTTCTATCTTCTGCTAGCTAATGTGGATCCAGTGATCACAGTTTTCTGCTAGTTAGTTTTCACCCTGAAGCCAGCTCAAGCATCTGAAGGAGGTTTCGAGCTCGTGTGTGCATTAGAACATAAAATAGTCATCTAACAGATGTCACTGTTTCTTCCAATATGAAAACCTTGCAAACATTTAGCATCCGCCCACGCTCCAAATAGGCTCAAGAAATGAGCTAAACTAAAATGAAAATAGTGAGATGTTATCACTTGCCTCAGCACCTGGATGTCTTTAGTCTAACTTCAGTTTGTCTTTTCAATTATTTTAAAGGCTAAACCTTAGTGTTACATATGCAGCTCTCCATCGGAGAACACTTCCCTAGATGGGAAATCCCATTACGTTAAGCTTTCACCTTAATCACTTTTGACAACCGCTGCTTCATTTTTCTCAGGTTTTAATCGACTATCTGGTAAACCATTAGAAATGAGCCTAGAATTTGTCTATCCTTTATGAAGACAAACTGATTATGGCAAATGATGATTGAAATTAGCCTCTTTGATTTGCTCTTAAGTATTTCGCACCCTTGACAAGACTGATAGGGTCTTCCCAAAAGTGAACTGCGAGATTCCACATCGGTTGGAGAGGAGAATGAAACATTCTTTATAAGGGTGTAAGAAACCTCTTCCTAGCAGATGCGTTTTAAAAACCCTGAGGGGAAGCCCGAAAGGGAAACCTAGGACAATATCTGTTAGCAGAGTACTTAGGCTGTTACATGAGTTCATATTGTTTACCACCCCAAATTGTAGGGAAGCAATCTTTGTGTTCAGGCATTTAGAAACAATGTTCCAATAACTTTTGCATCTGATTCCTTTGATAAAAAAATTTAAAAAAAAGTAACTCTGAATTGATTTATAGGACAATCATGGCTCTGTGGAAGGCCAAATCTTTGAGTCCAGAGCAGAAAGTTCGAATAGTCGAAGAAGAATCTTCTGAAGCTAAAGGCTGCTTACAATCTGAAGAGAGTGGATCATTTTTGGGCCTCACTGAAGTCAGTATGTCTGAGGTTCTCTCTTCCACACTTTCTGTTCCTGTAAGCCCTCTTTCACTCTCTCTTAATTTTGTGCACATGAACTTGATTTGCACATTACTATACTACCATGTTTATTTTATGTTGTAACAATATTTCTGCTGGTGCTTCCAGACCAGCGTTGCTATGGAGCTATTTAATGGGGCTGAGTTGGAGCGCAAAGTTATGGAGAAAGCTGGTTGCCTTAATTATTCATTTACTCCATGGGAATCAGAGAAGGAGAATGTTTATGAGAGGCAAATATATTATATTTTTGACAAACGTATCTCCCACTACAGAGTGGAAGTGACAAGTACACAACAAAGATACTCACTTCCCAACAAAAATGGTTGGCTCGTTGAAGAGGTCTTGACTCTTCATGGAGTTCCCCTTGGCGACTATTTCAATGTATGAATATTGAGTTATTATCTTGCCTGTCTTTTTGAAAAACTCTGGAGCTCATTGATTTGTTCAATGCATCTTTCCTTGCAGGTTCACCTTAGATATCAAATTGAGGATTTACCTTCTAAGTTGAAGGGATGCAGCGTACTAGTATCGTTTGGAATGGCCTGGCAGAAAAGCACTAAGAATCAGAAAAGGATTACAAAAAACATCCAAAAAAATCTACAAGATCGTCTGAAAGCGACTTTTGAACTCGTTGAGAATGAATCTGCAGCAAAATAGTGCTTCAATCTAATGTTCGTGGAGATTTAAACGTGCGCAGGGGAGAGCTGGTGCTTTGATGCTGGGTGATATTCTGCTTCTCTTTTCAGCTAAACGTCTAGCTGATTCAAGCTTGATTGGCTAGCACGTATTGAAATCTTTACTTGCTTCATATGATTGGTCGGAGAGAGAACTCTGAGGTGAATGCTTAAATTTGATGGAATGGAGCTTGCTTTGACCTTTGGAAACCTGGTTTTTTTATCTCAGTCAGCTGGAAGTTGGTGCTACATTTGCATAGAGTTGCTGCGTTGAAACTCAGAAGCCCCTTGGAGAGTTGTTATCAGTGCTTCCCCTCTCGATGAGGATGGCATAGGTAAAATACTTGGTCTCGACGTGGCCATGGTCACATTCTTTGTTCATTAGTTTATACCCTTAGGTTGTTTGTAATCATTCATTGATAGGCAGGATCTACTAGCAGGTGTTATTAGTGATGGCGAATCATCACGTAGAAGTCTCTTGGTTGTTTTACGGTACATGAGACATAAAGTCTCTTGGTTGTTTTACGGTGCATGAGACATAAATGCTGATTCGTTGTACATTGTAAACCAAGTAACGGTATGTTTTTAGTTCAATTTTTTGATTGATCTAAGACCGAGCCATTTCTAGGGATAAGAACTGGTGACTTTTTCGATTTTTAGAATATAAGATTTCAGGAGTTTAGTGTCACGGCTATGCTTGTCCAACGCCTTGTTGTGTGCCGAATGTCATGTAGAAGTCTCTTGGTTGTTTTATGGTGCATGAGAATGCTAATTCGTTGTACATTGTAAATCATGTAACGATATGTTTTTAGTTCAATTTTTTTATTGATCTAAGACCGAGACATTTTTAGGGATAAGGACTTGTGACTTTTCTTGTTTGTTTTGATTTTTGGAATATAAGGTTTCAATAGGTTAGTGTCAGGGCTAGCTTGTCCAATGCCTTGTCGTGTGTCGAATGGCATAGTCATGCTTGTCCAGGGTGCGTTGCTTGTGCACGTGCCCGCTCCAAACCTCTTTTACTTGTTTTTATGTTAGATAGGTGTTTACTAGTTTTGTTACGTCAATCTAGGGGCGTATGACCGTTTGCCAAAATCATGTCTACATCTGTCAAGACTAAAATGCCTCACAATTTAATAGAGTGAGATGTGACTAAGTTGTCAGATCTTCTTACCAGGTTATACGTTATTTCTTAAATCAATTTCCAAATGTTTTCTAAAATATTATCTTTCCCCATTTTCTAAAACCTTTTTTTCCCAGAGAGAGTATCAGACAATCGTGGTGTTATTAATCCTAATAAAGAACGCCACCTGTGTCGAGGCTTAAGCCTGCGGTATGATTTGCTCTCACCCCGAAGAATTATTCAACGGATTCAAATAATTAATTGACAAACCTTTCAAATTAGGGTTTACTCCAATGAGGTCGACTAACATAAGACACAAATTTAAAAAATACAAAAAAATTATTATAAACAACATAAAAGGTATTTTAAATCTTTTTTAGTCTTAAAATTAGTTTTGTCTAATACTTTTAATTTTATATTAAATAGATTCTCCAACTTTTAAATTTTAAATTTTTGTTAATGGATGTTTGACTTATTGGAGGCTTAATACTAATAAATTTAAACTTTAAATTTAACCAAATCATCACTAAAACTTTTTAAGTATTTTAATTTAAACTATTTTAATCAATTAATAGAACTTTGATAATTTACCTTAGAGGTAAATTTGTAAAACCAACCATTTATTTCTCCTTATGTAAAACTATTCTTTTAGATTACTTTTATTATTGAAAATTAAGTATAAAAATTAAGCGAACGGGAATTTAAGTATCAAGAAGAAAAAGTATTTAAACGAATGTAGAGTAAATAGAAAAGTTACCGAACTACGTGGTGAATTTTAGCTATTTTTAATAGATTCGGAAGCTCTCATCTCAAAATCATGCATAGTGATTACTTCTATAATTATTTTGTAATTTTTGTTAACAATATTATAGAAAAAGAATATTCGTAACCCTTCAATTACTTTTATATACGAAACTAAAGTATTAAAGAGGATTTTCTTCCTCTCTCTTCCTACGAATAAGAGAAACAACTATGTATATAAAGTGTCTAACTAAACAAACATATATATTATTAATAATAACTCTTTAATAAACTGAAATAACACAGACAATATATAATTCTCCGCCCTCCCCTATAAGGTTTAACTGTCCATACCCACTTATTTATACAGAGGAATCAACATATTAGTCATACAAAATTAATAAAATAAGAAAAGAAAGTACGAGATTAGAGAGTTATCGTAGTTGTTCTTCTTCTTCAATGGAAGTTCCCCATTTGTCCACACCGAAAGCTTTTTATTCGGTAGTTGACTTGCAGATTTATATTAAATTTTGCTGTCATAATTGTTGTAACATCATCGTTCAACAATTGATGTAAACATATCATCGTCAATAAGGTTGCTTTCAAGTTCTATAAAATCAACATAAAATCTCTATCACTCTACAAAAGATTTATACAAGTGGATCACCTTTTTACGTTGAACCACGACCGACTATTTCATGTTTACTAATTAGAATAAATGATGTATGCAAAAATTATTGAGAAAAATGCTCGGCATAGCTCTTTTATTGAAGAGTTATCATTACATTTCCCTATCATCATAATATCTTCTCCGATAGTGATGACATTTGTTATAGTACCTAATTTTGATACTTGATATAGGTTTTTATCCTCGATCGAAGCAAACCTGGAAGCACTATGTTTGTCCTCCCTTTTTGTGGGTCTTCGCAACCACCCATCGATCGCCACAAGCACTGGTATCTCGCCATTATCACCACTGTGCACCGCAACCATCCATCGACTATTGTCGTCGCCACCTAAAAGAGTGAACCATTAGTTTCGTTAGACTTGATACTTTTAGCCCAATCTTGATTCTGGATTTGACGTACCACTAATATTTATCTCTAACTTTCAATATCGTAACCAAGGTACCAAAGTTGGAAGTCAAAGCAGCAACTAACGACCTGCGTTTGGAAAGTAGGAATTGTGCTCACATATTCCATAAGAGAACGATGACTGATAAAGCCCAAAAAATTTTGGAATTGTTATGTCTTGTGCAATTTCGATTCATTTGTAGATATGTTAATTTTGGTTCGGTCTAAGTCGGAGCTCGACTAATATGTCTAGTAGCCATTAAGGGATATATCTCAAGTAAGAAACTTTCCTATTGAAACTAAACTGTTTTGTTTTCTAAAATACGATTGTATGTGTATGTCATTATATGGATTGTCATGGTGTTGTTTGTTGTCATGCCTATTGATCATGAAAATAATTGTTTTGAGACAACATAAGTGAATGCTATGATTAAGCTGTGTATATCAGGCAACTAACCACTATTGTTCACATGGATGATTGTTGAAAATTATTTTCATGGTAAGGGTTAGACATTGTGTGTATCGGGTAACCAATCGCTATTGGTCACTAAGAAGTGTTTGCTGAAAACTATTTTAGATGAGTAGATTACACACCGTGTTACAAGTAATCAACCATCAACATCTCTTGATTTTAATCGATGAACTATATAATCGTTTGCATATTTGACCTCAATAGAAGAGAACCTCACGCAACGGTTTTAAAATGATTTTTTAGGTAGAGCAAGGCTGTAACACGAGAGTGACGAGCATGAGAATTTATTATTTGAAATTATTATGTTAAATTGCATGTTTTTAAATTATTTAGAAAGGCGTACCCAAGCATGATATTTTTGTAAATTATCTTTATCATGTTTGTATATATTTTAAATTATAAATTTTGTATTGACACTGAAATATATTAGAAACAATAACTTACGAAAAATGATCTTTTGTAGCGGTTTTTGTATGTCGTGACAACCTATGTTATAAAAAGTTTGAAAATTTTTATAGCGTTTTTGTGTAGCTATAATAAATGCTTTAATTATTTTAATGCACGTTTGAAACACATTTTCTCAAGGGTATTTTTTTAAATATAATTTACTGTTTGCTAAATTCATGCACAAGAGATAATATTTGATAATACATTAAAAACGAACAGACTTCTATTCATAATCTTATTCACTACAGAATATAGTATTCAACTGGATCTATATAAGAATTTCAAAAGTTTTTTTTTTTTTTTAATTTAACCTCAATTAAAAAAAAAATCCTTAACAATTTTTATCACATGCAATACAAATTTTATTTTTTAAAAAAGTTTTAAAGACATTTTAATGAATTTTCGTGAAAATTGAGAGTATTTTTAAAACAAATAATATTTTTAAATAAAATTTTTAATTTAAGAATATTAATGAAACAAATTAAATTTGAGGGTTAATAATTTCTCTAATTTACCCAAAATTGGAAACAAACTTATTTTGAAGGAAAACTTTGACAACAGAGAGAGAAGAGAGAGAGAGAAGCGAAAGAGCGATTTGGGTTTGGGCATTAAGCATAAGCCGAAAGATAGGGCGATTCAAGGAAGAACGGCAGGCCACCGTCCGCCACTTGGACGGCCGGAGATATCAGGGACTCCGCTGCTCTCACTCTCCACAAATCTCCTCTTCTTACTTCACCCTTCTCTCAACCGATACCCTATCACAGGTGAATTTCTCCCTCTTTTGTCTCTTCTCTTCAATCGACGTATTTCAACTATCAATGAAATCGAATTCAATTCAAGGAGCTTCACTGTTTTCTTCATTTACTACGTTCTTTCTCCTTCAATTTTTCTTTGATGTCCTCAGTTTACTCTTTGAAACTTCAGTTCTACTAACTTCTTCAACAATTTCTTTTCAATTTAACATCAGCATTGAGTTTCTACTCTCTGATCAATGTCTAAGTTCTTCATTTTTATTGCCCTAGTTGAACGAAATTGTTGGAACTTTAACTCTCTCCCTTCTCCTTGTTTATGCTCCCTACCGCAAGATTTTGTGTTGTGCTCAGTTCCAATTTTGCATACACTATTAGATCTGTGACTGTTATTAACTTGTGACTTTTGCGATGCCATTTTTATTTTTGATTATTTTGTTTATTTCAGTCGCGTGTTGTCTGATACAGTTAGACTTTGAATGAAGTTAAAAAAAAATTGAAAGAGTTGATGATTCATGTTTTCTTCTTTCAGTGAAAATATGTGCTGTTAGGTCTGTGGACCATTTGAAGTTCGATGCTGATGTCACATTGTGCTTCAATTACAATAAACCTCAGCCTAAGAGCATTTATTTAATCTGTAAGTGATAGAGATTAGAAAATGTATGGAAGAAGTGGCCTCGATAGATTTAAGAAGGCTCAGACCTTGGAACCGTTCTCTGTAACTGTCAATTCTACTTCACATGACTCTGCTCAATCTTCTGGTAAAGAAGGCATTCAACCACTCGTTCAATATTCACAATCAAGATCTTCGCACTTTCAATCCATTGACCAACATCAATCCCATGATTCAAAAAAACTTACTGGACCTGAAGCAGGACCATTAGTGGGGCAGACTCAGCAATCAACTCAGGTTGGAGGAAGTCAGTCCACTTGGCAGCCTCCTGACTGGGCAATTGAACCACGTGCGGGCGTTTATTATCTTGAAGTCTTAAAGGATGGTGAGGTTATAGATCGAATTAATCTGGATAGGCGGAGACACATTTTTGGGAGACAATTCCATACTTGCGATTTTGTGCTTGATCACCAGTCTGTATCACGCCAACATGCTGCTGTTATTCCTCATAAGAATGGAAGGTTGGATGTTTGTTTTCTTGGCAATAATATCATTTTATTTGTTTTATTTCCTAATTTTTAACCCATTACTAGTCCTTTGAATTTGATTGCAGGTTACAGGTTATTTATATATAAAGTATTTTTCTCTAAAATTTGAATTAATTGTAAATATTCTTGATACGTTGTGATGTTCATGTTCTCATCATTGACACAATGAAAAACCTACATTAGGGTAGTTATTATTTTTTAATTTTCGAGTTTGTTGAGTAAGATGATTAATAATTATAAATAGTGATTATAAATAGAGTGACTTTTCCCATTTTCCTTTTTTTTTTGGGGTGCGTTGGTGTAGCCTGTAAGGAGGTCACTCATAAGGTTGTAGAAGAATTGGTAAAAGAAATAATCATGTCAAAGAAATTCAAACTCTTATAGTTTGATGATTGCCTCTAGAATCACATTGGAAGATAGGCACGATGGCTATAAGATGGAAAAATGTTGTTAAAGGAGTCAATGAACAAAGGGAAATCAGATATCTGGGAATAAACTTCAACTGGGATCTTAAGGACTCACAAGAGCGAAGATGCTATTGGAGAAGAAACCACTTTTATTAAGAAAAAGAGTGAAATCCAAGGAGGAGTTCATAAAACAAATGGAGGAAGGAATGGTCATAGTTGCAAGATTGGTAGTGTCTGTCACCAAGGTGTTTAGATTTTGGCGAGTAGGGAGAAGATGGAAATGCTCCCTTGTGTTTTCTGTGATCAAAGAAGTGAGCAAGATAACGTGGTTCCATTCCACCACATTAGCACAACCAATGTAGAAACTATATAACTCAGTTACTTGATGCTAGTTAAGGCTCTAACTTCACTTGAAATATAAGATTTAGGCGTGGTAGGGGTGCATCCAATCCATAAATGAAAACATGTTACTACAATTTCTTTCAAATATACTTTCTTCCATGTTTAGAATAAAACTAAGCTGTTTGCAGTGTGATCCACTTGGCTGATGAGTCTCTAGCGACTAAAATGTGATAAAACAATGGGCTTACTGAGCAGATTTGGGATCATTAACAAACACACATCTTGTTTTTGTGAGTTCCTATAAAGACCTCCCTGGAATGAGGTGGCGCCTCTCAATTTTGTCTTTATTGTTAGCTCCTCATGTTGGGTTTCTTTTCTTTTACAAGATGAGGTATTCCTGGTGATGGTAGATGTGAATAATCTATTCTTTGTGCAATCAATGTTGGAGATGATAAGTTTGAAGAGCCCTTTGAATGTTAATCCATCCACCTCCATATAAGGGTACTAAATTGGATTCGTGGAATTGGCAAATTGGTGTATGCCATAAGCTGCTGTGGACATTCTTTTTATGTACTATAAATCATGTGATTGTGATGGGTTGATGGTTGTAGGCAATATCAGCCAGTGAGTTTGAGTTGCCTTTCCCTACTGCATCATCGGTGAACTGTGGTTCTACTGTGGGCTCAGTAGTTAGGAAAATTGAACTTTTTGGAGGAGCGTGGAGAAATTGGTTGAAGGGTAGAATTGTGTGTTATGGTTGGATATTAAGTTATTATGTTTTAGGAAGGTCCTGTGCTTACCATACTAAATGGAAATTTTCTGTCCCTACATATTTGTAGGGCGTCAAATTAATTGGCCATTGGTATTGATTTTAATCGGCAACCCTTTTGTAGCTAAATTTGTGGAGTTTGGGTCTGTTTGGGGAGGAATTTTTTGCTGGATTTTGTAAGTAGTTTCCGTCCATGGCCTTCATGCAAGCCTTTCAAGTGACATAGCCCTTGTTACACCAATTTCACTTTTTTGAAGCAAGAATTACGTACAGAAGTCTGTGTGCTTTATTTTACTAGTTGTCTATTAAGTGGCTGTTAGTGTTACTTGATTCATCCCTGTCCTCTGTATTAATAGTTGGATTGTTTTAGTGGTATATCAATCATAATTATTAGGTACCTCTGAAGGCCCGGACTTAGAAAGCATCAATGAATTTTCTTGATTTTTTATTTTTTTATTTTTTTATTTTTTTATTTTTTTGGCGATGTTGTTATCCTTTGATAATTTCAACACATGTAATTCAAAAGTGTTGAGACTTCCTGGGGTGATTGTTAAGTATAAATTTTTGTTGTCTAATTTCTTGTTTAATGAAAAAAGGGTTAATTTTTTTGTCAGTTCAAAGGTGATATTTAGAGCTTGAGAGGCTCATAATTGAACTGTATTGGTCTGAACATGAAAATGATAATAGGTGTCCATGACAATGTCAAAAGCATATATTTATTTTATAGGACCTATCTATCATATAGAGTCTGAAAAGGTAAAAATGTTTTTTCAATTAGGTACTTAGCGAGATGCAAGGTTTTGTTCTCTTTCCCCTATCCGTACCAGATCTAATGTTGTAGTCTGTGGCTTTTGTTATGGGGTTCCTCTCGAGTTATCAGAACTTTCTGCTTTGCTTTTGCTGCCTTTGAGGTACTTCCATGTTAAATGTGGAGGAGTGATTCTCGTTTGACCTCTTGTCCTTCACAAGGCCTTTTTTTTC